TCGTCCGGGGTGCGTCTTCCCCCGCAAAACAGCCGTTAGGCGCATCACACGACGGCATCTACTCGGGTTGATTCACTCCGCGGGTGCTTCTCTTGGCTGTTTATTTCTCCGCCGCGATCATCTGTGCATATTGTTCCGCTGCCAAGGTACCAAGGTCAGCCATTTTGTTTCATCGCTTTCATGATGGGGTCAACGAGAGGTTTCGCACTGTGTTCTAGAACGAATCGATTGTAGTGCGAAAAGTAATCATTAACGATCTATCTAGATGCGCAAGAAGAAGATGTCGTAGATACATTACCGAAATGCGCGATTCACATGCCGAAAACAGCCTAGTGTACTGCCAGAGCATCCCTACTCAAACACATCACTCACGTACCTGGTCTCCTTGACCTTCTCCAGCCATTCCAGGGCATCTTCTTCAGTCTTGTCCGGGAAAGTATCCCTATAGATCTTCATACACATCTCCGCGGTGCTCTTGGCCAACTTGCTCGCACTACCACAGATGAAGACCTTCGCGCCACCTTCCCCGAATAGCTCAGCTAGCTCCTTCCGCTCGTCCCACATGCGATCAGGCACGCGTTGCGCTTTCTGGCCCTCGGGAGCGACTTTGGAGAAGCAGCCGCGTACGCTGACTACGCCATCAGCCTCCCATTGCTTCAACTCCTCGGAGTAGATGAAGTCCTTCTCGAAGTGACGGCAGCCGAAGTAGAGGATCGCCGGTCCGACCTTCGCGTTGCGAGCGTTCTTGATGGTTGCACGCTCCTGGATGAAGCCGCGCATTGGAGCGAGACCTGTACCTGCGCAAACCATAATGATGGGTACAGTCGGGTCGGTGGGCAGGTGGAAATTGATGTTCGTTGGACGCGGAAAGCAACGAATCTTCTCGCCTGGCTCTTGACGCGCTAGGTATGTGGATGCGACACCGTGGAAGCGGCGGTTATCTCCACTCCATGCTGCCTCATCGTGAACGTCGTAGGTCAGAGAGGCAATCAAACGCTGGGCGGTAGTTCCTTCGGGTGTTTGGATGAAGTCCACATTTGCGAGGGGCGAGGACGAGACGCTGTATTGCCGGGGAGATAGCGGCTTCAGCGAGTCAAGGTAAACTGCGAAAGATAGCTTGCAACCAGGGTGGTCTTCGAGGATATCCAGAATGCTGTAGCGCTTGGGTATGACCTCCTTCTTGTATATTTCGTCGCTTGCTAACTCCAATAGCTTGGCCCTTTTGTTTTCTGGTGTGGCTTCGGCAAGAGTCTGTAGCTGCTTTTGCGAGATGGGCGTGCTTAGCTCCACACGTGTCATTAACAGATCGAAGATTGAAGTTGGGACTTCGGTTGCGATGAAAGTCTTGCTGGTGCCTGTGATGGCGATATTGTCATCAGGCGATAGGTCGAAGCGCTTCATGACCCGCCTCACGTTGCAGATGCTGTTCATCGGCAGGATGACGATGTAGTCGCCGGAGCGATACGACGTCCCCGGTGGTAGTTCGATCTCCATGTGCTTCTTGGTAAGGCCAACCTCGCCGCCACCTAGGCTTTTGTTGACTTTCACTACACCGTAGCCGATGTCTTTGCCGCCCAGGTATGTAGCGAACTTTGGAGGCGTGATCTCAGCCTGTAGCTGTCCACCAAGTACCTTAGTAGTGGTACCGCTGGACTTGCGCAGATCACTCCACATCTGCTCAGACCACTTTTCCCAGGGACCCATTATGTCTCCCTTTACATTGACAAGACCAGTCTCTGTGAAGCGCTTAGCACCCATCTTTTCGAGCAATTCGTCGGTGAGTTTGGGAATACGATGGTATGTATGGGTCCAGTCGCTATTACCGACCCCAAAGACGGCATACTGAACTCCTTCAAGCAGCTTGGATGTCGCATTGTTCTCCAGCCAAGCAACGAATTTCTTCGCGTTGTCTGCTGGCTTTCCTTCGTATGAGGGCTCGATGATGACAATTGGCTGGTCTTTGGGGATGTGTTCAGTAGCCGAGTCGAGACTGGCGACGTTCGCGTTGAACCCGAATCGTGAGGCGTTGGTCTCCAAGTCCTCAGCATAGGATTTGCATGTGCCGGCGTTCGATCCGTACAGTATGGTAATCGGCTTCGCATCCCTGGTAGGTACATTCGCTTCTTTGGCCTTGCCAGATCTGTTGTCGTTGGCTTCCTTGGTAATGTTTGCACCGCCTCCAGTCCCACCCAGGCTAGCCATTGTGCGTCCAGGACGTCTGCGGACCTTGATCTTGAGATCCTTTGGTTTTTGTGTAATTGTGACCGACACATCTGGTACACGAGGTTAGCGCTGTCATACTCAAGAACATGAAAGCACGTACGGAGCTGGTATCCGGGGTCCGCGAGCTCAACTTGGAACTTCTGTAGGATGAGTGCGACAACCATGATCATCTCCTGCTCAGCAAACGTCCTGCCAATGCAGGCGCGTATACCATCACCAAACGCCTTCCATGAGTTCGGTGGAAGCTTCTCCCAACCACCGTCCAAAAAACGCTCGGGTCGGAACACGTCCGCGTCATCGCCATACACTTTAGGGTCGTGATGCAGTCCCTTTAGATTCATCAAGATCATGTCCTTCGGCTGCACTTCGTATTTCCCCTTAAAATTGTTAGACGCTAACTATAGTAGCCGTGAGGATGACTTACCGCGACTTTCGTAGGCTTCAGCGCATGTATTCCATTGATAGCAATGGGGCCGAGGAAACGCAACGCTTCGTAGATTGCGAACTTGATGTATTCAAGCTTTGGGACATGTTTCAGCTCCAAAGGACCGTCTCCGAGAACTTCGTCAACTTCTTGTTGAGCTCTCAGATACTTGTCAGGGTTTCTGAGTAGGTGGTAGAACAGGAAGCCCAGAGTGCCGCTTGTAGTTTCGTGGCCCGCAACCAGGAAGGTTACCATGTTGTATCGCACGGACTCTTTCGTCATCTTCTCTCCGGTCTCCTTGTCCACTGCCTCAAGCATGGGGTTGAGAAGGTCCTTGGCATCTGGCTGAGGATGAGCGATTCGATCAGCGATAATCTGGTCGCATAGATCATGCATCTTCTTCACGTTATCCTGGCGATGGGCTTCGGCGAAGACTCGGAGTTTGTTCTCGATAGACGTGCGTGTGGCTCGTCTGCCAGACTCCACCAGAACCTCCACCATTTGGTTGATGAAAGGATGCGCACTGTTGCTGTAGAAATTATTGAACCTGTAGCCAAACGCGCACAGGCCGATCATATCAAAGGTCAGCCTTGAAGTAGTTAGTCATAACGCCATTTGGTAAGAGATGGCTGATATTCACCTTGTGAAGTCATCGGCGCATTCTATCTCATGATCTGGTCCGAAACGGTCCCACCGGAGCAGCATCTGCGTCGAAATGTCCATCATGCCATCGAACATCTTGCGGATACCCATTGGCCCAAACACAGGCATCAACAGCCGGTGTGCGACGCCCCAAGCCTAGTGCAATTATTAGCACATCTGCGATCACAGCAGGCATGTCAAGTGTACCTTTTCGCCGGGATAAGCTGTGAACAGGCCATCTCCGGTCAAAGCTCGCACCTCATCCAGAGTAGCATTAATGGGCTTTTCGAACCTGTCACCGTCGCAGCAGTCGTTGATCGTATCATATGAGGACACGACGATGACCTTGCCGTCACGTCCCGGGAACTGGAGTTGATAGATTTCGCCATAGATATCCGCAAGTCGTTGGAAGGAGCCTGGAGCGTCGTTCGGATCGATCTCAGCGAAGTTGCCTACGAATAGGTGCGGGGGAGGCTGAGGAATAGGCAGAGAATCTGATGTATCGGAGGCCATCGTCGTGGTCTACGTGATGCAAGATTAGTAGGGTGGTGACAAGACCGGGTGTTTGGTTTCCAACGAGGAGGAAAGACCGAAGGACTTGGATTCAGCTGCTCATCGCTGGGAAAGAGCTGGACTACATATACACGGGTAGCAACACAGCGCAGGACATGTCAGCCTTGGGACGTCGGCCTCCCATGACAGCCCTCGACCGAGCCTTGCCATTTAATGCTGCCTAGTTGCTGACTCCGCAGGGATACAGAGTCCTATGGTGATGTAGTTACAGCCAATGGGGTCTGATTGGGCGTCACACTGTCCGTAGTCAGCAAGTTTGCGTTCAGCTCGGCTGTGCCAGCCACGCGATAGGCTCCTGAGTTGTGATGCATGGGAGCACGGCAGCATGCCGACGCTGCGCCTCGTGCGAACTGGTGACCGAGAGATATTGCGCGCGACTTAGCCAGATCACAGTACGCAATAGCCTTCGCTTGTCTAGAAACTGTCTACCGAACGGCCCGAGGCGCAGGGCCAACGACCTGTCCACCCCGCGCCACGCCGTAACACGCGCAGCGTTTGTTGTTGAGGGCCCCAATGGCTCATCAGGCGTGTTGAACATTTGGGATCTGATGAACTGGTGTTCTCTGAATTGTCGAGGTTTGCTCATTGGGGTAATAGACGGGAAAACATCGACGCAAACGCTGTTCGTGAGTTAGTGTACACGGCGATCGTCGCGTCTTCGCGTGACGGGGTGCTTCATTGAGCTCAGCGGCATCATTGCGACATCTTCAGCGTTTTCGTAACGATACTGATACTATGAGCTTTAGTGGTTATGCAACATGCACACTGTCTAGACATGTTGCAAGGCGAGACGGCGGTGCAGGACGCGCCAAAGCTCGGCCGGCTCAAGCGGCCGAGCGGGGCGCCACTTGTCGGTGGAGAGTACGAAGGAGCTCGTATTCCAACGTTGAACCCAGTGTTCACGATAAGAACGTTAAATGAGTCGAGGCCCAGGAAGACTCCACGCAGTAAGACCAGACATGAATCTATTCATCAGCCAGACGGCATGCATTGCATTAAGTGAGGTTGACCAGTGTACATATGAACGTCTCCTTCTCCCATGTCTGATACAACAAAACACCAGCCATCTGGTCGTTGTACCATTTATTACGGTTGATATGCACCATAATGATGTATGTCGTGCACAACTCACAAAGACTCAAGCCGCCTGTGTCTTGGCCTCCTTCTCTTTCTTCCAGACAGCGATGGTGGAACTGTCGAGGTGGATCTGGTTGTAGGTGCTGACATAGCTAGGACATTCGCCATCGTGGCGCGTGAACTTGCCAGATGCTTCGCCGATGACATAGTCGATCGAATCGCTAGCCTTGAGATCCAACATACCCCAGTGATTGAGGAAGCCAAGAGCAGAGTTGTACATGCTCTTCAATTTAAACCCCTTGGGAGCTTGGCCTTTCAGAAAACGAATGTAGATAGTGAGACGCTGGGTGTATACGTGAAAAGTGAACTCTACACGAGGTTGTAGAATGGTGGTACTGCGAAGCATCTTCAGCCAATTTTCGTTGGTGTTGGCGAGGAAGGCATCCAGTGCGTCGAGATACCCATAACTCCACCTCATTTGCCAAAGCACTTCATCCCAAGTGTCCTCGTGATCGCAGGCCATGCCGCATCACAATGGATGCTGTGTCCGCATTCGAAGTACGCTACGTTGGGCACATCGTCTTCGAGTACCTGACGGGAGGCGAAGTTGACAGTAAAGGTTGGGCAGTGTGCGCGTAGGCGGGCCAGGAGGGTGATGTTTGTCAGGACGTCCTCCATAGACTCTTCATCCCCACCGTAACCTTCCTCGAGTTCATCGCCAAGCTGACCGTGGTCCCAGGATATTAGCAGAAGCTTTGGAGCGTTCTGGTAATCTGCAACCTTGGGGTAGTATGCGCTGATGAAATGAGCGAGTGTTGGGAGTTCCACGCAGAAGCGAGATTGACGAAGCCACATAGGCCGATACTCCGTCCGAATCTGCTTGCAGACTTGAGTGAGCGCACGGTAACGCAGCGTGCTCAGTAGATGCGGCACGCTAGTGCTGTCACTTGCGACCTTAGAACGCTTGAGCAGAAGCGGTCGTATTAGATCATCGTCGTCATCATATACCCCTTCTTCGGCGAAGTGGTATATGCGATTGCGGATTTCTGCGAATAGTTAGCGAACCGAAGCGCTGTATAGGCAAAAGAAGGACATACCAGCAGGCAGCTCGAGGAATTGGCAGCAATTGAGCATGGGCTCGAACTTGGTCTTATCGCCAACCGTCTTGCCACCCGAATTACTGCTGTTGCCCTTCTTGGCGTCGCTTGTCTGGAAGTTCTGGCCTTTGCCTCTGTATATCGGTCAGCTAAGGTGTAGGGCGATATGTGAAGGTACATACGCGTCGGAAGGCATCTTCACTGTTGAACCTGAAGAGACCTGTAGAGAGGGGAGCGCAGTCTTCAGGTTAGGTGTCAAGCGGGGTTGGGTAAACAGCGAGAACAGGCAGCGAAATGCGCCTTTGTTAGTCGCGGAAAGAGCGCACGAGCGTGACGCGATTTCCCGTGACCGATGACGCACTATGCCTACACCGTCTCGTGGGCGCAGACCTCTCGGAAGACCCCGCTCTTCTTTTTTGAGAAACGAATTCGATTCTAGAGGTGCCCTTTAAACTCTAGGCACTTAGGCGGAATCCTTAGTCCTCCCCTCCGATCTTGCTGCGTCCTACTCGTCTGCCAGTCTTAATTCCAGTAGGCAAAGGCCCTTATCCGCGTAGGCTCGACGAAGAGGTCCTTGCTCCCTAAAGTTATTCACGAAGAGATTTGTACCCCTGGGTGAATCGTACTAACGCTGCATAGACACCAGCATGCGAGAACCACGGCGTGGGGGCAGTGACTGACAGTGTTGCGTGTTTTCACCTCAAGCGGTTCTACATTCAAGGCCATGCCCGGCGTCGTGGTGTGCAGCGACGACGCGTGCAAACAATAGGCGCCAGTGACTGCCTCCTCAGGCGTGGCAGTTTGCTTCCACCCCATACGACAAACAGTCGCATCGCTGTCTCACAACACATCCTTTTCTCTTATAAACTCCCCACGAGTCTCCAAATATCCCACGGCGACTGACAATCCTGTCACTGAAAAGTGAACGCGGCGGTATGGCTTTGATCTCGACCTGCTCTTATTGGTCGGCTTGGCAGGTGAAGGCGACCACATACCGTGGGTGACAATAGAACAGACAATGGGCCATCCATACCAGCCACCCGCATTGTTTCTCCTTCACCAAGTAGTCCTACTCCTTATGGCGAAAAATCTTTTTCAAGCTCTGCTGCAAATTTACCACCGACCTCACTTCCCAATTACTCCAAACACCGACCTCCAGTCCAAAAGATTGCGATCAGCTGCGAGCCGGATCTTTCAGTCTGACAACCACGAAACTGCACGCATCAGCAAGGCATCTCAGGATGTTTGCGCAAGAGTATATCCCTTTTGCGACAGGCACAGCACCGTCTACGGACGAGCGCGGTATTCCACAACCCACCCATCTCGCGCGCAAAGCATCATCCGCCAGCAGTGCGTTCTTGCGAGAGCTTCTTGGCCCGGAGATGGCTCTCTCGATCATGCCTCCTGGCTGCCGCACCATCGCCTTCTCGCAGTGGGGTGGCTTCACTGCAGCGCCCGAGCAAGTCACACCGACCGGAGAGCTCAAGGCCTCAGACCTGTACATGGATCGCGGGATGACATCCACCTTCAACCCTCCGACGTCTGAATGGTGCTATTTGGGTGTGAACCAGCCAAAGCCAGACCCCAGATACAACGTGCAACCCATTCCAGACCTTCGCAAGCGCAAGCGGAACTCATCAACAAGCATCGCGACTGTGAGCGAGCAAGGCGATCAGGGTGCCAGACCCAAGGTAAGGATATACATCACTGTACAAACTGAGTGTGAGACAAACGCTGACTTCGTATCTTCTTAGCCAACGGCTTCGCCCGTCCGTTTTACCAGGCAGACACTGAAGCGAGTGAACACCAACTCCGAGCTTACAAGGTCGTTCGAGCTGGTGTCCATTAAGGAAGAGAAGAAACCGACGTTGGCCGAAAAGTTCGCGTTCGAGGGACTGAACTGTGAGGATCTTCCGTCGGCATTCGACTCCGACGACGAAGAAGAAGACTACGACATCCGACATGCTCGCTGATGGAAGCATGAGAGCCCCTGAGCACGACTGCCTGCTCCACGATCAAGGACCGTCGCATAGGGTGGTCTGGAGGTGGAAAGCATTCATGGAACGAAAGCTTATGAGCGCATCGCATGGGAGTTATTTCCGTTGCAACGCTGGTTACATTGTTCACTGAAGCGACATATGGCTTGGAGGATGCGATGACAGGAGTGCAGGATGAGGCACAATGGATGAAGATGTCCCGCTTGCCGGCTGGTCCGAGCTCTCTTTGGATTCGATGACAGCATCGATCATCAGCTCTAGCATAACTTTTGGCTTGTACATAGACACCCGCCACAACAATCAATTGCATATCACAGCCATGGAACGAAGTCTACTGCAGTGCACCCGTGCATTCTCAAGATGTACGATGCAAGCCTCATGTCGTAATCTACCCAAATGCAGACCCTCGGCGATCGCGTCCGCACGACAGGCACGCTGCCTACACACGACGCGCCCCGCCCTCCTCCAATCCAAACCTCCAAGAACGCGCGATCGCGGCCCAAAGAGCGACGAAGACACGCAGACTGACTTCAATGCTCTCGATGTCCTCCGAAACACCGTCGCTCCCGCCACATCCATCGATGCGTGCACAGGCGATGGCTTCGCGCTCAACAATCAGATGCGCATTAGCGGATGCGGCATTCTCTTGATAGGTGGAGAGGCATATCGATGGAAGCCCTGGCTACGCGAGGGCAGGAAAGAAGGCACCGTCGCTGAAGGAGGCACCGGCGATGATGCAATGACAGGCAAATTGCTGAACGCGAAGGGGCAATGGGAAGTGCAGGAGCAGGCTTGGGGAGTGTTGGAGTTATTATATCCGAAGCCTGGTACGTTTGTAATCGCCTGCAATGAATGCGTGACGAACGTGGACTGACAGCGAGCGACAGATCTACTCATCATTGGCACCGGCCCCAGTACCGTCCCTCTTGCGCCCGCGGTTCGCAAGTACCTCAACGACCAGGGAATCCGATTAGAAGTCCAAGACACAAGGAATGCGGCGGCGCAATTCAACCTACTTGCGACAGAGAGGGGTGTGGGACAGGTTGCGGCAGCGCTCATACCCATCGGTTGGAGAGAAGGACGATGATGCTCGGACTAGCAGAGGGCATACCACTGTCCCGTTGGTTTCTCCAAACGGTCACGCTGTGGTGGCTCCTTGACGCCTTGGAAGACCTAGGAGCTGACTTAGACCTTCCGGCTGTGAACGACTCCAGGTCGATGGTCCACCACTCAAACCATGGAGGGTAGTCTTGTTTCCAGGCAAGCTGTAATAGGGCTAGCGACACGTCACAGTACGAAGACATGAGCGCGTAAGTCAACGATTTTATGAGACATGCCCGCTAAGTTGAGCACGCTCATTGTACTATTTGTATACATACATTCCATTGTTCTTAGATGATCCTGGAACCGACCTGTACATATAAGTCCTTCGTGTCTCACTTTTACCTCTCTCTTTGTCGTACTTTTCATGAATTCCCAAACTCGTTCCTCGCGCTGCTTGCTTGTTCTGACTCCACCAGTTCTATTTGCTAGTCCGGCCGTCGAGCAAACAAACGCTGTCACAATCACAGCCGCGACTCCCTGCCCCAGACCGCTCCTTCCGACTTGCGCTTTCTTAACCCACCACGTGGCCCGGCGATATCGCATAACTAGCAAGCCAATGTCGCTTAAATACGTGACCTGCGCACTATCGACCTTCCTTTCCACTCTCCTCAATCTAATCACTCGAAGCTGTGAACTAATGTCTGACGCTGATATGCACGGAATAAGGTGGGGCTTTGGTAGGCGCGTGGTAATTCCTGATGAGGAAGCAGCCATAGGCGACACTACGCCGCTACTCGGTTCGGAACGCTCTTACCGCAGCGAAGAGGGTGGAGGCGACTTTCCGCCAACCATGGATGGCAATGATGCTTCCGCCGCCACGTCTTCAGCAACACCACGTCCGGTGACTCCCTTTGTCGCCGAACTACCGATTATTCATAGCCCATCGTTACCGGCAGTCATACACAGCTCAGGCCCTAGGCTGTCCGTCCTCCAGTCGTTCAGGCTTAGCAAGTTATACCGCAATCGGTTCCTATCGTCTACAGAAGTGTCCTGCCATATCGACCACTCCACAGCGCAGATGGAGTCGCAAATTCAATATGACGACAAGAGCCTAATAATCGAAATACTGTCACCCGTTCTCGACAACCTGAAGGAACTGAAGGCGTTGACACCCGAGAGTCTACAGGACCACAATCAGACCCTCAACAACGAGACGCACGCTCAGGTTCTTAAGCAGAAGCTGTTACCCATAGGTCAGCTTATCGTGGACTGCCTGGAAACAGTCCCACTGGACCACCGGGGTTGGTTGGAGGGAGCCATATGCCATCACATCGCCGACAATTACTGGCCGCTGCCTGTCAACTTCTTCACCCATCTGAAGATTCAGGAGAAATACCGCAATGCGCTCTTTAGGTTGGCGCAGCGCACACCTGCCGGGGCCATCGAGCCGCATCCCAACAAGGACTCTCAGCAGCCTCAAGCACCAGCTATCGAGCCTGATCCGCCCCAACCATCGCTGGACCCGAGGGATAATCCGGACACGCCACCATTCCCCAAATCGACCGCTGAGCAACCTCAAGCATCAGTTATCGAGCCTGATCCGCCCCACCCGTCGCTGGAACCGAGGCATGATTCGGATACCACTGCACCATTTCCCGGATCGTCCGTTCATCAGCTACAATCATCAGTCGTTCAGGCCGCTCCGGGCTCTGGGGACTTTCTAGATCTAAACTTTTACGAGTTGAGAGCAGAGGCTATTGAAGAGGCCGATGCGAGGGACTTGGACAACGTATAGTACCCAATGGTCAAGTACCACCTTCTGCCTAGTCTTCCAAGGCTGGACCGAAAGATCCGGAAATGTCAAATGCCCATGTCACTCTTCAATCCTCAATGTACGGGCTATTGGGACGCTTCTTTCGAGATCAACAACAACCAAGTTCAATGGAAGGTAGTGATACCTCATGTACGCATCGTATGTGAAACATTTACTGACTTTGTACATTCATCCTTAGGCCAAACCTGATCCTAACACCATCCTTTACAACTACATGCTGCCCCCCGATCATATGACCAAATGTGTCATACCATTATTTGCGGCACGCGGCCTGCTGCCAGATCTTGAGCTCCGCGTGGCCACGAAGATGAGCCACGAGTATCAAGACTCCAGGCAAAACCTGAGTGCAATGCTCGATTATGACATGCGTTGTTGCATCCTCTTTCTGACTCGCAAACGGCCCGATCTCCAACCATTCGAAGTATTGTGGTGCGCTGTAAGTGGGGTTCTGAAGCTGCACAAACCCTCGTTCGACAGATACGCTCAGGCACCTGCAAAGATTCGCCAAAGGGTCAGGCGAGACGGAATAGCAGCGTTTCAGAGAATGATAAAAGCCCCAGATTTCGACCACGTTGATCAATACCTTTGGAACGCGATGAGGGTGCTTGAGATCTATACTAGACCTCTGGTTACAAACGAAAGTGTATTCCTCTGGATCGATTCCTTTCGTCTTGAGAACATCGACGTCATCTACGATTTACGCCTAGATGGCGCGAAAGCTCGAAAGAAATTGTTCGATTACCTCGAAGAGAGGCATCCTGGTCGCGAATCCATATGGCACAGCCTCGTGCAGAACTTCCACAGCCATGATGTAGTCAAATTTCCAGAGTACGCTACTCGACCACGCTCAATCGAAACCATTACTACCTGGGTATATTTCTTCACAGAAGCGCGACAGCGTGTTCTACTGAAGGGAATGGACTTCGACGCATTAGTCCTCGATGAAGCTGTAGCAGCTGTAGCAGCGGAGCAAAAGAAACCGAAAAAGAAGAACAAGCCGAGGAAACGTAAAGGTGCCAAATCGGGGGAGCTGCCTGATGAGAAGGAGCTGCCAGTTGCTCAAGAGAAGTGCACATCTCATGACCTTCCTGTGTCTCTTGAACAACCTCCACAGAGGGACGACACGACACCGCAAGAGGAGTCTGTAACTCAAGAACAACACACATCCCCAGAGCAAGCTATACCCCAGGAAGAGCCCCATACCAAAAAGCAACGCTTATCTCGAGAGCTATCGACTACGTCTACACCTTGTGGACCTACACCCCTTTCAACGCTGGAAGCGAAGGAGGAGAGCGAGCAGAAGCAGTCAACAGAGCAGTTAAAGAAGCAAAGAAAGAAGCAATCGAGATGGGAGAAGAAACATGGCAAGGCAGGAAAATCCGACGCTACTAAGCAGGCAGCCTCAATCACGGTGGAGGAGTCTTCGCCATCCGTTGTCGCGAAGGCCGATGACGGTGGTGACAGTGTTACTGGAAACGCCGACAAGGATAACGACGGTGTTATTGGCAGCAGTGTTATCAACGACGGTGGTGACCTTGGTGGCTACTTGTCTGCGGCTGATTCGGTTCCTAGCGATGAAGCGCCTACCAATCAAGAGATGGTTCCAGAGCATCCAAGCAACAGATACGAAGTTTTGATGGCCAAGCCGTCGAAACCCGCTAGGAAGTCAGCCGGAAAGCTAGCATTCCATACCGATAGTGAAGATGACATGAAGAAGGCCATGGAGGAGAGTCTTCTGAATGACCCGGGTAGCTGGTCAAAGGTGCAAGGGCGTGCGAAACTGCGACCAAAGCAGAAGCAGAAACAGCGCATCGACGATCGCAAGAGTATCCAAGATGCGTACAGAGAGAAAGGCTATGCAACTGCTGTTACCGATGCACAGTTGGACGGGGCAAGAGCTGAAGTGAAATCGAGAGAGGTACGGGCGAACTATCTCAGATCCAAAATAACGAGCTTGTCTGCTCTAATACCAGGTGAGGGCAGCGCCGAATCAATCAAAGAACACAACAACACCGCTCGCGGGCAGCCTACTTCCTGGTCAGCGCTTTTTAAGCCTACGGAGAATGACACAGGGCGCAGTTCCCCTCGAGACGCGACTCCGTCTACGAATGCTGTCGACACGCAACCGCGTACCGCAACTGCCACGGAGAACCGTGAACCCATCCAGGAGAGTGCACAATCCGCGAGCCCTCACACTCTTGCGGAATCAAAACCAACCGTAAGGCAAGATGAATGCAAGGACTTAGAGCTGTCCAAGGTTGTTGCCGGCGCGGTATCGACTCCCACATCAGGCACAGAGAACAGCGAGTCCATCAAGAAGACCGTACGGCCTGCGAGCCGTCACAAGACTATGCAATCACAACCACCAGTTATTCAAGAGAGTCCCAAGGATTTGGAGTCGTCCAAGGTCGTTGCGGGCGCAGGAACGACCTCCACATCAGGCACAGAGAAGAGCGGTTCCAACAAGGAGACAGTACAGCCTGTGGATTCTCAAATAATTGCGCAACAAGGACGTCCGGCAGATAAGGGGGTATCTGGGGAATTTACGCCATCTCGAGATGCTGCGGGTGCGGGATCGACTTCCACATCCGGCACAGAGAACACCGGTCCGATCAAGAAGACGGTACTGCCTGCGGACCCTCGAGACATTGCGCAATCGGAACATCTGGCAGAGAAGGAGAAACCCATGGACCTCGCGCCATGCGAAGATGCTGCTGGTGCAAAACCAACTCCTGCGCCCAGCGCAAAGAACGAAAGCTCCACCACAGAGATCGCACAAACTGTCGACCCTCACCCCTTTGCGCAAACAAGGGGACCGATGGACGAGGAGGCTCCCGAAACTCGCCACAGGCGTAGGGCCAGCTCGCCGCCATCTGTGAGTTCCCACGCTCCTGCGCAATCGCACCCGCCGGTGGACGAAGAGGCACCCGAATATCACCACAGTCATGAGGACGGTTCGCCGCCTCCTGCGAGTCTTCACGCTTCTGCGCCATCGCAACCACCGGTGGATGAAGAGGAGCCCAAGGACTATAACAGCCATGAAGAACACACAGAATCACTTCCGGAAGATGATACCCCAAGCCAGCCCTCAATCGTGGTGGACTCGACCATGTCGCATGTGGAGCAGTGGCTTGCAAGCAAATATGCGGCTGCCTTCGCCGGGCTCACGCAAGCGGAAATAGACGATGCGCACTGGCGACCTCAGCAGTCAGCCGCGACTTAGAGGCAAGGATAATTGAAGGCTTTTTGACACGACTGGGACGGAAGAGAGGGTAATGAAGGGCGGTAATAGGGTGGTGGAGGAACATGATAGCATGGTCGCGCGCCAATTTTTCACCGGTACTTCCGGCACATGGCGCAGGTGTGACAACGTCACATGGAGGGCTTAGAGGTATCGAATAGAAATCTCAACTCAAGCATACAATCTTCTAGACGTGCATCGTATATCGTATCGTCGTAGCGCCGGATCTAGTGTAACGGGCGGGCGATGCAGGGGTTTCAGGGTACGCGAAGTGGGTACCCGCATCTCGTTCCTGAGTGCACAGCCTCCGTCTCGTAGGGCTATCCGCGTATTCGTCTCGGAGTGGATCACTACATGGGTCTCTTGCGCTTTTGGGTGCAGCTTGCGATGGACGCAGTTGTATAAGGAGGAATGATGTCTGTGATGATGGATTTTACAAGCCACACATTCATTGCGTTCGTCTTCTTCCTGTCGCTTTTCAATACATACTTCCAGTTCTTCTACATTCGTTTACGACAACTGCTCGTGCACTGCGGAACGGTGTGCTCCTTCTCTCCCTGCGTCAACCTTCTTAGGCATCTTCAGCCAAACTTTATCCCCAAAGCATCACAATGGCAGGCGACACGTCAACAGACACAGAGGCATACGCTCTCTTCCCCTACGAGCCCAGCAAGGTCGGCGCCATCCTCTTTGCTGTTCTCTTCGGCCTAAGCACAATCTACCACCTTTTCCAAATGATCCGAGGCCGCGCATGGTTCTATACAGCTTTTGTAATCGGATCAATAAGTACGTCTCTCCTTCTCTCGTCCTTTAACAGCCCACCCCGCTAACAATCTTCAACCAGTGATGACAATCGGCTACGCAGCCCGCTACCTCTCTGCGCAATCCCCCTCCGAACTCATGCCCTACATCATGCAATCCCTCTTCATCATCCTCCCGCCCTCGCTCTACGCCGCAACAATCTACATGATCTACGGCCGCCTCGTCGTCTTCGTAAACGCCGAACACGCTTCCGTTATCCGACCTACGTTGGTAACCAAAATCTTCGTCTGCGGCGATGTCGTTGCATTTCTCATGCAATCTGGCGGTGGCGGCATGATGGCACAGGCTGACATGGCGGATATGGGACAGAAGATTATGCTGTTGGGACTGTTTGTGCAGTTGGCGTTTTTCGGCTTCTTTGTCGTGGTCAGTGCCATATTCTATTTCAGGATGAGGAGTGCGCCTGAGAGGTATACGGTGCCGAAGTATGGAAAGTATGCGTGGCCGACTTTGGTAAGTTGCTTTTCCTTCTTCTCATCTCCTTCGTCGACGAACGATGTACTAATTCATGGCAGTACAAACTCCTTGCCATCGCGGCTGTTGTCATCATCGCTCGCTGCATCTTCCGTGTCATCGAGTTTGGACAGGGTCATAGTGGGTATCTGGCTTCGCATGAGGTGTACATGTATGTTTTCGATACGCTGCCTATGTTCTTGGTGCAGGTCTTGTTCCATTTTGTACGCGCGGATGACGTGTTCGGAACGAACCACCGGGCGGTGAAGAAGTTGGATAGTGAGATTATTGGATTGTATGAGAGGGCGTAAAGGAAATGTTGCTGTCTCATTGTAGTTTAGATGATGTTACGGGCGTTGGTATCGCGTTTGGGTTTGGCGTGGCATGATTACGGCGTTTAGTTGTCCTGCGGCTATGACGACCTTGTGTATCTAGAAATCGCATTGAATTTTTGATAGACATCAGTGCGTACATCTTCAATCTGCTGTTGTGGTGTTTAGGGGAAGTCGCCGGGATGGAAAGTTTCGCTCGCCGAGTGGGCCGAGGTTCACACATCGGGTTAGCACCAACCCGTTTCTAGCTTCCTCGTATCTCGTTCTTCGTTTCTCGTTCGCGTTGCTGTTGTCCGCAAAGCCTCTCTACTACTTTTTCCTCGCCTATCATATCAATCCCTTGATGCAATTGGCCAATTCCAATGGCCCTGAAAAGAAAAGCGCACTCGAAATCGCGGACGGGCTGTGCCACGTGCAAACGCCGCCGGATCAAGGTACGAAGCACGTCGTACTACAACCTACGTTCTGACGCGCGATAGTGCGACGAAGCAAAACCGCGATGTTCGCATTGCGTGAGGCATGAGGTTGCCTGTGTATACCCAGAATACATTCCCGTGCGCGCCAAAAGTTCGATTGAACACGCGTCTTCTCGTGCTCAAACACCGGCAACTCCGAACGCATTCCAGCTAGCGTCCCCTCAGAACGACCCTTTCGCAGCGAGCACACCATGTTCGGAAACCCAGATCATCCCCTCATTCTCTCTGAAAGATATGTCCCTATTGCATCACTGGACAATGGCTACCAGTCTTTCCATACTACCCGGCGTGCCGGCAGTCACCCAGCTGTGGCAGGTGGTCTTCCCAGAAATAGCATACAAACATGCATATATGATGCACTGTCTCATCAGTCTCTCCGCTTTACACGTTGCGTATCTCAATCCTGACGACAGACGCGCAAATCTCCACATCGCAGCGCATCATCACACCGTCGCTCTCAGCGGCTTTAGAGCAGATATCGACACGATTGGCCCGCACAACGCTGAAGCACTCTTTGCTACTTCAACGCTAATGTTCTTCTACGCTTTCTGTACCTTTTCCAAACTTTCAGATGCCAACGCGGACAAACAGCAAGATAACGACAGTGCCAACGATAGCCTATCAATACGGACATCGCGTATTTTGGGTGCAGAATGGATACCTCTTGTGCGCGGTATTCAGGCTGTGATAGGCCCTATCTACGAACATCTCAAAGAGGGCCCTTTACGATCAACTCTCCATCTAAAGGACTGGGATGATATGGATCCCGACAAGCAGCCGGGACCGGATGATCAGCACGTGGTGCGCATCAAGCAAACGTGGGCTGACGATGGAAATAAGGCAATATACGACGAGACGCTGTATCTGTTGAGGAAGATGAGTGCATGGGTCCTTCATTTCCGGAAAACCTGGGAATATCAACAGGAGGAATGGGGATATAACGGTAGTTGGTCTGCTGTAAGTTGCTAAATCTTGCTCTCCAGGTCTGCCTGACACTTTTACTAACTCACGGCTTTTGTCGCTATTGAAACAGCCGTTCGTTTGGTTATCTTTAGTACCGAAAGAATACTTCAAGTTGCAGCAACAACGGCAGCCATTAGCTTTACTCATCTTTGCTTACTTTGGCGCACTGTTAGAACAGCTTCACACAGGTTGGTGGACGGCAGGTTGCGGCACGAGCATAGTAGGTGTAGTAGATGACTTTCTAGGATCCTACTGGGCCGAATGGATGGAATGGCCAAAACAAGTGGTCAATCAACAGCAACAGCGGCAAAGCTCCGAGAAGCAAGGCATCGACATCCACTAGATCGAGAGATGCGTTCTCAAGCCACGATACCCAACGCCTCGTAAACCGTTGCGATAAACTTCGACGTTCTCGGATTGCCCATACCACCCTTGCCATTCTCATTCGTCTGCCCCAACCCGGCTGCATCCATCTTGTTCATAACATATCCAAACGTCATCTTTCTATCCGCGTCAGCGATAACCCGGCTTCCGCCCCAACCACCCCAAGTCGCCGCCCGTCCCAGTGGCAGATCGGCCATTATGCTTCCTTCAGCTGGCAGCCCAAATCCCAGTCCAAGGCGGACATTCATCGGGATAACAAGGTCCTTCTCGGCATGTTGCTGCGTCGAGAAAATCTGATCAAGAGTCTTGCCAGAGAGAAAAGAAGGGTTTCCCAAGGAGATGACGGACATGAGACGAACGAGAGCGCGCGCATTACTGTATCCGTTCGCCGCACCAACAACTGAACCCCTCCAGACTGGTTGGTTGGCCCAGTCAGCATCCATGCCGGGGTTTATGCCCATAGATTTGAACATGAGGCTTTTTGTGTCAAGGGCCATGCCCTCCATATTCTCTTGGTGTTGTGGTGGGGGAATAATATCGGCGACTCTGTGCCACTCCTTCTCCGGGACACCAAGTTGGAAGTCCGCCGCAAGTGGACGAGAGAGTTCCTCAGCGATGAACTCTTGCATCGGCTTCCCGGTTACCCGACGGATCAACTCGCCGAGGAGATGGCCCATTGTGAGTCCGTGGTAGCCGCTCGCGGTACCGGGTTCCCACCATGGCGCCTGTTGCTCCAACAACTTCGTACTCTTTTCCACATCGCACACATCCTCGATCGTAACGGTCTCCTCCCACCCACTCAATCCACTCGCATGCGAAAGAAAGTGGCGAACTTCCACACCTTCTTTCCCATTCGCGGCGAATTCAGGCCAGTACTTGCACACCTTCTCGTTCGGATCCAGAAGACCCCGGTCGATGCACACGAGTGCCGCCAGCGCGCAGATAGTCTTGCTAGAAGACCAAATACATGTTATAGTGTCCTTCTCCCATGGCCGTGTTCGGGCTTCATCTGCGTAGCCGCCCCAGAGATCAACGACTTCTTTCCCGTCGAGATTGACGCAGATGGAGGCGCCCAGCTCTTCTCCCGAGTCGAGGTAGGATTGGAAGACGGACTTGACTTTGGCGAAGCGAGGGTCGCATGTTCCTTGGACTTTGGCCATGGTGATGGGAGGGGGTAAAGAGTAGGCTTGGCTGGTATATCGTGATGCGGCTGTATCTTGCTGATGATGGTTGTGAAGACGTAGTATAAGTTTACTCGTAGATCAGATGCTCGAACTGTGAATGATGCATTTCTGTAACCAGACGAGCAGTACTTGTACTTTCTGAAGTTCACAATGGCATCGTCTCCCCAACCTGACGGGGATGAACCCACTCGGTCCGCCGTACAGCGTATAGCCATCGGCTGCGGAACGTTCGTGTTCCGATCTCGGAACGCGGACTAACAAGGACGACGAGATTAGACGTGGTATGAAAGCGCCCAAGTAACTGCGTTGCGCTACATCTAAGCGTAGTCTTAGAGTTGCCGCATCCTGCTGCCGCTGTAGTCGGACCACTCCTCGGCCGACGCCAGCTCTCTCTTAGCGGCATTCCGTGGTTCCTTGTGCGGCGGCTTCGGTGGTACTCCCAGCTCCACTACCCAGAAATGCTCCGCACGTCCACAAGCTGCGGAAGCGGAGTCGAAGTCGTCCCGCAATTGGCATCAATTGGATGCATGGCTGCATATAGATAATCAAATTTTGATTGAGCGCAAGTGAAAAGTGATCATCTAGGTACTGATGGCATGTATGTCATTTTCTGGCACGGGAACACCAGCTTCTTCAGGTTTCACACAAGCATCGTTTGATCACTCTAGACACTGAAAACCACTTTTCAATCTGCATAATACTACTACATCCCAAGTCCGTGAGCACGAGGAGAACCGCAGATCCCCATACGCCTCAACACCATCACACCGTGCCATCTCCACTCATCCTCGTCCCATGTCCCTACTTGAGAAACTTACTAACAAGCCCCTTCCCACCCTTGATCAAATTCTTAACTTCCCTCTTAATATCATCCGTCGAATTCCCGCCCTGATGTCCCGGCTGCATGAATCCCCCACCAGCACCGCCCTCCCCACCACAATGGCCCTGACCGCCACAAGTACCACCAGGGCAACCTTGGATGAAATGCTCAACCTCACCGCAACATCTCCCACACTCGCCCGAGCCCATGAATGGACCTCCTTGACCCCATCCCACGCGCATAATGCGGGCTTTACGACCTTCCCATCCAGTCTTCGCATCGGTGGCGTGGAAGCAGCCCCAGACCTCTGGGCCGCCGGGCCCGTTGACTAGGACGAAGTTGCCGTGACCTGGACCATAAGGCGGAGAGTCATCGCGAGCGGCTTTGAGAAGGGGTTTGTTAGATTTAGCCCAGGAGTGCGGGTCAAGCGGGTGGCCACCGGTGTAGTACAGAATGTTCATTTTGTACTCGTGTGTCCAGCTTCCCGCGCAACTGTACACAAGACCCATCCAGCGGCCGTCTGGTGAGCACAGAAACTGCGGGCCCTCGTTTATGCCGCTGGTGCCTGAGAACTCGAATTGTAGGTCTGGCGTGCTGATGCGAATGGGGTGGCCTGTACATTCTGTCGGCGAGACCATTTCGATGATGAAGATTTCTTGACGCGACTCGTCAGCGTGCGTACCGAGGGGCCAGCCTGAGTAGACGAAGAGCATGGAGCCGCCTAGTGTGACGACTGTACCGTCGATTGCCCATTGCTCTTCGGGCAGACCGCCTAGCCGGCCGAAGAAATTCCATTTACTTGGCTCCAGAGGGTCTTCTTCTGAGGGTGGTCCTGCTAGGACAAACATGCGATGCGACTTGTTGCCGTGCTTTGGGTCGTCGGCCGCGAAGTAGACATACCAGCGGCCGTGGATGGAATGAAGTTCAGGTGCCCACAGGTCGGCGGAGTAGGGCTGGTCTGGAGGAGGACGCCAGATCACGTTCTTCTTGCATTTCTTCTCAAAGTCGAAGAGTGAGTCCGCGGACCAGATCTCGATGTGGCCGCCACAGGTGAAGGTCATGTAGTACGTGCCTTTGTCCCAGAGTACGTACGGATCCGCACAGCTGCTACTAGTGATGGTGAGGATCGAGTCGTGGTATTGCGGTCTTTGTGCAGGCCATGCTGGCTGCAGTTGTTGCGCCATGTTGTCGTGGCTCTTCCCTTTTGCTCCCGTCCCAGACTTCAGCGGCTAATGGGTATCGTTCGGAAGGGCCACACAATACGTGAGAAAAATTGATGCGTTCTCGGATGGAGTAAAGGTACCAGCTACTGTAGCAAATCTAGATCGTTGACTGCACTATCAGCGGTGGCTGTGCCCATGTGACCTCTGCTCCAAGGCGCACGCGCGTAACAGCTGTATGATGACGTCATCGCGTACACTCATTTTCTTGGTCCAGTACTAAATAGCCGGACTGCTTCACCTTAAGCAGGTGCGTATGGGGACGGACCGAAAGGCTGTGGAGGTGTGATGCGGAAAAGTTGGCAATTATTGCCGAGGGGTAAACAGGGTCCAATGTGGCAGTGAAGTGGGGGAAGGTGCAAGCCACAGGTCTGGTTGCCACGTTTTTGCAGGCACCATCGGTATGGAAGGGTGTTCAGCATCCTTGACTGTGTTGTGATTATACTGTTACCTAAAGGTTCTTCCTAGCCCGGCTACATTACTATACAACAGTCCGTCCATGATCATAGTACCTCATAACTCAGCCAAAATAGTCCGATTATCCAAGGTGGCTGGAGCGCATGCCCGAAAGTCATGACCACATTAGAGCCCGGCAGAAGCCCATGTATCCGTCACCGCCGCAATAAACACTAATAATGTTTCCTGTAAAGAGTCCAAATCTTTACATGCTCTGGTGTCCTGCCCTTGAGTCGAAGACTGGGTATCCAGCATTGCCAACGACTTTAGTCAAGAAAGCAGAGATCGGCGCGCATGTCGTAAGGCATTGTGAAAGAAAAGCACCGTAAACGCCGTGCCAGATCCAAGATGACCGGGAACGGCAAGTTCGAGTCCAATAAATAAGTTGCGTTGAAGGTATATAGTGTGATGGCGTTATACGTTGAATGAGTGTGCGTCGGTGTTTCACACTATAGCTCTGTCTTGAGCGTCTGGTCGACAGTAAGTTCGCCAGACTCGATGCGGTCTACGCGCAGTACGAGCTCCTGTGCTACCATTAGTATGTTGAACTTCACGGTTGCTGTTGAAGCGCTTACCTTGAGAGCTCTAGCAGTCTTGAATGCAAGTGGCGGAATCCTGTCGCGACCTCCACCGTTGATGTCGACAGCACGCATACTCTGTCTGCATTCATCGAGCACCTCTACTACGGGAAGTGCGTGCTTTTTCAACGCAGGGTTGGAAAGCTGGTTTACAGCATCATAGGTCTTATTACCAGTGTCGTCGACTGCTTGCGAGATGTCCTGGATGTACTCGTAAATTTGTTGCTCGTCACCGGGCGTAGAATCAGGGTTCGAGCGGATGAGATTGACAAGCGGCTGTATGCTCTGGACGAGGAGTGCGGTCTGATCTTCAAGGTAGTTCTGCCAACGTTAGTAGAGGTCGACTACTGGTATTGGTTGGAATGTACCTTGAAATCGAGCATACCGCTATCGCCTGCGCCATTAGCACCATTCATGGCTCCGCTTTGCCCGTCGTATCCGCTGTAGGGAGAGCTGTAGGTGCTGTACCTGGTAGTATCACTGCTGCCGCCTTTGCTGCTACCACTACGCTGGTGACCGTATGCCGAGGTCGCACCGCTGCTGTTGGTATTGTCGTTGGTGTTGCTCGGCGAGTACGCACTGTAGTTGTTGTGTCCAGCCGGCTTTAGTGGCATCGGCCTATCAGCTTCCTCATCGTCTGCCTCAAGCTCGTCTTCTGGTGTGGGTCGTACTTTGACGTGTTTGACTAGCTCGACAACAGCTGTTGACAAGTGACTAGCTGCAGCGTCCAAAAGACTGACTGGTGACAGTCCGCCAGATGCCGTGTGGTTCTTGGTAGCAGTGATGAGGTTGTTGGCCGTAGCGCTGACACGAGACTTGAGCTTTGCTTGCTGCTTCTCAGGGCTTGCGAAGAGGTCGCCGCTCACACTGCTGGTGGGAGACTGGACTTGTGACAGAGAAGTGCTGTCAATGTCGCCCGTAATGGCTCGTACACACTTGACGACATGGCGCATACTCTCGAGAGTCTGCTCTGAGTTTGCTCTTCTCGCAGTCTGTAGCAGTTCATCTATGCTCAACTGGAACTTGGTGATGTGAACATCCTTGACCAATCCGTCTGGCGTCGTAAAGGCAGCATCGCGGGTGATGTTGGTTTGGTTCAGGGACATGAGCTGTTGTAAGCCCATAGAAGATGCCTTGAGGTTTCGCAATTGTGTCTTTGCCTTGGCATATCTCGATTTCCAGTCTTTGAGCTCCGCCTCGAGTGATGTCACTTGATTCGCCATCTGCTCTTCCTTTTCGGCCGCGGCATCGCTGCGGGCAGAAAGTTCTTTCATCTCCTGCAAGAACATGGCTGCGTCTCTCCGTACTTCTTCGGCGACCTGCTGTTGTTCACCCAACTCCCGTTCAAGCTCCTCACATCGCTGTCGCCATTCACCGTCTCCGTTGTCATGCGCTTGCTGAGATGCTCGAGACTGGAGATCTGCGATCTGTGCACGGAGGCTGCTCTCGACGTCTTCGTTTTCGTTGCGCAATCTATCTATCTCGGAACGAAGTGAAGAGTTGAGATTCTCAGCCTGTTGGACCTTTTGTTCAAGCGTACTCCGAAGTTGGTCCCACTCGGCACGCTCGGAAGCCGAGGCACCGTCGCGTGTCTTGTCGGTATCTTGAAGTCGCTGCAGTTCGTCGTCCTTGTTCCGTATGGTGGTTTCCAACGAGCCAATCTTCTCCTGCAACTCAGCCACTTGGTTTTGCAGATCTGCGGTCATCTTTTCCTGCGCCATGCTCATACTCTTCGCGCTCTTGTTCGTTTGCCGCCTGGCAGCAGCGCCTTCCAGATTAAATGCATCGTCATCATCTGCTCCGCTGTCATCGTCATCTTCGACCAGGGTTCCTTTGTTCGGCACAATCGTGTTTGACTGGAACGTCTTCGGCAGTGGCCGCCCGAACGAGCCGCCCGACCCA